GGGAGGGGCTGGTGGGCGTGGCCAGGGAGGCTCCGCCCCCTCCCCTTCCCCGCCCCTCCCCCACCCCCGCTCAGGTGTGGGCGTGGCCAAAGGAGGCTCCGCCCCCTCCCCTGCTCAGATGTGGGCGTGGCCAGGGAGGCTCCGCCCCCTTCCCCTCCCCGCTCAGCTGTGGGCGTGGCCAAAGGAGGCTCCGCCCCCTCCCCGCTCAGGTGTGGGCGTGGTCAAAGGAGGCTCCGCCCCCTCCCCGCTCAGGTGTGGGCGTGGCCAAAGGAGGCTCCGCCCCCTCCCCGCTCAGGTGTGGGCGTGGCCAAAGGAGGCTCCGCCCCCTCCCCCGCTCAGGTGTGGGCGTGGCCATGGAGGCTCCGNCCCCCGCTCAGGTGTGGGCGTGGTCAAAGAGGCTCCGCCCCCTGCCCCGCCCCTCCCCCACCCCCGCTCAGGTGCGGCCGCGGCTCCCGGTGCAGGTGAGGGTGGGGGAGGGGCAGAATTTTAATTTTATTTTTATTTTGTTTTAATTTAATTTTTTGGGGGGTGGGGGAGGGGCGGGAAAAGATCCCAACCCCCCAAAAAAATAAAAATTATTTTGGGGGCCCCTCCTCCACCCCCCTCTCCGGGCTTTTGCGCCCCTCCCCCACCCGCGGCGTTGGCGGGGAGATTTTTTTGGGGGTGGGGGAGGGGCGGAAAAAACAAAACCAAAAAAATTTGGTTGAAATGGGGAAAAAAGGGAAAAATTCGAATTTATTCTGAAAAATTTGGAGTTGATTGAGGAGGGAAAATGAAATTAAAGAGAAAAAATTAAAAATGAAGAATGAAAAATTAAAAAATTTAAAAATTAAAAATGAAAAATTAAAATGAAATTAAAAAAATAAAAAAAATTTAATTGAGAACAAAAAGAGAAAAAATTTATAATGTTTTCTACAAAACAACAAAATTAAATTGAGAAAAAAAAAAAGAAAAAGAATTTTTTTCTAAGAAAGCAAGAAAAAAATTAAATGGAGAAAAAAAAAAAAGAGAAAAAATTCCAAACTTCTTCTAAAAAGAAAAACAACCAAAAAATTAAAATTTTGCTGAGGTGAAAAAGGGAAAAAATCCTGATTTATTTTGAAAAAACAAAATAAATTTAAGTGACCAAAAAAAAGAGAAAAAAATGCCAATTCCTTTAAAAAACAAAAAAAATATTTAAATTTAATTGAGGGAAAAAAGGGAAAAATTCAAATTTATTCTAAAAAATTTGGAGTTGATTGAGGGGGGGAAATGAAATGAAAGAGACACAGATTTTTGGTAAAAAATAAAGAAAATTTAATTGAGAAAAAAACGAGAAAAAAATCGATATTTTTTTCTAAAAAACAACAAAAAAATTAAATTGAGAAAAAAAAGAGAAATTTTTTTTTTCTAAAAAGCAACAAAAAAAATTAAATGGAGAAAAAAAAAAAAGAGAAAAAATTCCAAACTTCTTCTAAAAAGAAAAACAACAAAAAATTAAAATTTTGTTGAGGAAAAAAAAGGAAAAAATCCTGATTTATTTTGAAAAAATAAATTTGATTTAAATGACAAAAAAAAAAAGAAAAAAATGCAAATTTCTCTTAAAAAAACAAAAAAAATATTTAAATTTAATTGAGGGGAAAGAAGGGAAAAAATCCAAATTTCCTTTAAGAAAACAAAAAAAATTTAAAGTTTAGTTGAGGAATAAAGGAAAAAAATCCAAATTTACTCTAAAAAGACAACAAAAAAATTAAAATTTACTTGAGAACAAAAAAGGGAAAAAATCCAAATTTCATTTAGAAAAGCAACAAAAAAATTGAAGTTAATTGAGGGGAAAAAGGAGAAAAAAAATCCAAGTTTTCTTTAGAAAACAAAAAATTTAAAGTTAATTGAGAAAAACGGGGGAAAGTTTCAAATTTTCTTTAAAAAAACAAAAAATATTAAAATTTATTTGAGAAAAAAAGGAAAAAAATCCAGATTACCTTTAAAAAAAAAATTAAAGTTTAGTTGAGAAAAAAAAGAGAAAAAAATCCAAATTCCCTTTAAAAAACAAGAAAAAAATTGAAGTTAATGGAGGAAAAAAAGGGGGAAAAATCCAAATTTTCTTTAAAAAAACAAAAAAAAGTTAAAGTTAATTGAGGGAAAAAAAGGGGAAAAAATCCAGTTTTCCTTCAAAAAAAACAAAAAAAAATTAAAGTTAATTGAGGGAAAAAAGGGAATTTTTGGGAATGTCTGGGTGGGATTTTCAGGAATTTTTTGGAGAATTTTTTTGGAATTTTGGGGAATTTTTGAGTGGGATTTTTGGGAATTTTTGGGAGAATTTTGGGGAATTTTGGAGAATTTTTTTTAATTTTGGGGATTTTTGGAGGGACTTTGGAGAATGGGAATTTTTGGGAGGAATTTTGGGGAATTCTGGAAAATTTTTTGGAATTTTGGGGAATTTCTGGGAGGAATTTTGGGGAATTTTTGGGAGAATTTTTTTGAATTTTGGGGAGAATTTTTTTGAATTTTTGGGATGGATTTTTGGGTGGATTTTCCAAAATTCCAGGTGGATTTTGGGCAGAATTTTGGGGATTTTTGGGTGGATTTTTGGGCAGAATTTTGGGGATTTTTGGCCAGAATTTTGGGCAGAATTTTGGGGATTTTGGGGCAGAATTTTGGGGATTTTGGGGCAGAATTTTGGGGATTTTTGGCTGGATTTTGGGCAGAATTTTGGGGATTTTTGGGCAGAATTTTGGGCAGAAATTTGAGGATTTTTGGGCAGATTTTCGAGGAGAATTTCGGGATTTTTGGATGGATTTTGGGACGGGATTTTTGTGATTTTTGGGGCAGGTTTTTGAGTGGAATTTGGGGATTTTTGGGCACATTTTGAGCAGAATTTTGCAGATTTTGCTCAGATTTGGACGAGGATTTTTGGGCAAATTCCGAGCGGATTTTTGAGCGGAATTTGGGGATTTTTGGGCAAATTTTTGAGCGGAAATTTCCGGAATTCTTCCGCAGATTTTGAGCAGAATTTGGGGATTTTTGCTCAGATTTGGACGGGGATCTTTGGGGCCCCGTCCCCAGGTGTGTCCCAGGTGTGTCCAGGTGTATCCAGCTGTGTCTCACCTGTCCTGGTGTCCCCAGGTGTGGCTCAGGTGTGTCTCACCTGTCCCCAGGTGTATCTCAGGTGTATCTCAGGTGTGTCCCAGGTGGATCCAGGTGCGTGTCAGGTGTGTCCCTGCTGTCCCCAGATGTGTTTCATCTGTCCAGGTGTGTCCCCAGGTGTGTCCAGGTGTGTCCTCAGGTGTCCCCAGGTGTATCCAGATGTGTCTCACCTGTCCAGGTGTCCCCAGGTGTGCTCAGGCGCATCTCAGGTGTGCCCCTGCTGTCCCCAGGTGTGTCCCACCTCTCCCCAGGTGTCCCCAGGTGTGCCTCAGGTGTGTCTCAGGTGCGTCTCAGGTGTGTCTCACCTGTCCCCAGGTATATCCAGGTGTATCCAGGTGTGTCCCACCTGTCCCCAGGTGTCCCCAGGTGTGCTCAGGTGTGTTGCTGCTGTCCCCAGCTGTGTCTCACCTGTCCAGGTGTCCCCAGGTGTGTCCCCAGTTGTGTCTCAGGTGTTTCCAGATCTCTCTCACGTGTCCAGGTGTGTTCCCAGGTGTGTCCCCAGGTGATGGCGTGACTCAGGTGTATCCAGGTGTGTCTCAGGTGCGTCTCACCTGTCTCAGGTGTATCTCAGGTGTGTCCAGGTGTGTCCAGGTGTACCTCAGGTGTGTCCCTGCTGTCCCCAGGTGTGCCCAGGTGTGTCTCCAGGTGATGTCCTGCGGGTATTTCCAGCACGGGGGCGTGACTCAGGTGTGCTCAGGTGTGTCTCACCTGTCCCCAGGTGTGCCCAGGTGTATCCAGGTGTGTCTCAGGTGTGTCTCACTTGTCTCAGGTGTATTTCAGGTGTATCCAGGTGTCCCCAGGTGTGTCCAGGTGTACCTCAGATGTGTCCCTGCTGTCCCCAGGTGTGCCCAGGTGTCTCTGACCTGTCCCCAGGTGTCTCACCTGTCCCCAGCTGTGTCTCACCTGTCCCAGGTGTCCCCGATGTCCTGCGGGTATTTCCGGCACGGGGGCGTGACTCAGGTGTGCTCAGGTGTGCTCAGGTGTATCTCAGGTGTATCTCAGGTGTGTCTCACCTGTGCCCAGGTGTGCCCAGGTGTGCCCAGGTGATGTCCTGCGGGTATTTCCAGCACGGGGGCGTGACCTTCCCGGGTTCTCCTTTACTGTCCAGGTGTATCCAGGTGTGTCTCAGGTGTGTCTCAGGTGTGCTCAGGTGTATCTCAGGTGTGCTCAGGTGTGTCTCACCTGTCCCCAGGTGTGCCCAGGTGTCCCCAGGTGTGTCTCACCTGTCCAGGTGATGTCCTGCGGGTATTTCCAGCACGGGGGCGTGACCTTCCCGGGTCTCCTTTACTGTCCAGGTGTCCCCAGGTGTGCCCAGGTGTGTCCAGGTGATGTCCTGCGGGTATTTCCAGCACGGGGGCGTGACCTTCCCGGGTCTCCTTTACTCCCCGCGGGGTCTGGAGGCCGCG